GACGCCCCCATTCATTTCAAGTCATTTATTTTTGTGATCATCTGCGTGTCTTATTTTTCTTTTTTTGTTTATAATCTAAATTTTTGTTTCTCTTGTCCTTAACGTGCTATATGTAGTGCGGGACACCTGTTATTTTATTAAATAAAATCTTTCAGAAAAATAAACTAGTTTCTCTGATAAAGATCCTTGATAGACTTTCATTTAATTCACTAAGTAAGGGAGACTGCTAAGTCCTTCTTAATGGGGTCTTTGCTGAAAAAGTCAACAATTGCAGCGCTGTGATAAAGCGCATATTCTAGCTTTCGCTTGTTTTTTCATAATGTGTCGCACGTAAATACATACAGTATGCTTGTTTCATAATTCAATTTAGATTCTGTCAGCCTACGTACACTCTTTGTCATATGCCAAAGCATAAAAAGCCAGGTAAACAATCAAAAGAAAACTTGGACGACTGTGAGTTTAGGTTTTCAGAAACCGTCGGAATTATTTGTGCGAACATTATAAGGCTTCATTATCAGAATTTTAGGCAATTCATTCAAGCATGAATTATGTGAGCTGCTTAATGACCTTAACTCCGTTTAACTTAACCTCCCCTCTTTCGAGGTGGAGGTATCGTTTTCTTGTCCTCTTTTATGTGCTGTTTTTCTGAAACAATGGTTTTAACAAAATGCCGTTACAACAAACATTGTTGGCAAAGGGGAACACGTGATGTTTCACCTCACGGGATCGTACTGCAAGGGAAACTATGCGCCATATTATGGACAACAACTAGAATTACGGATGGAACGGTGAGTTTTGATATAGTTAGTACCGTCTGCCCTGTTATATTGTACAAAACATCTTGCGTCATTTACAGTTCAAATTACTGTCATTATAGACTTGTGAAGATTCTTTTGTCTATAGCTACTTTTATTTGTCCGATCTTACCATCCAATATTTCATCTGCTTGCAGTCAGGCTTCATCAGGGAATGAGGTTGTGACAGGTATGACTACACTGCTCTACACTACTGTCATTATGTTTTTAGGGTAGCGACTGATCTATATATCACTTAGATCTATATATCACTTAGAGTCTTAGATGTACATGTCTGCATCATGTTTACATCCAAACCACTTCGCTTGGGGTGTTGTATGTTTTTTTTATTAAATATTTTTCTGTATTTATTTGCAGGCCAGTGAGTACCATGTACATGTATAAGCCATGGAGAGTTTCGTTTCTTCACCTACTACTGATCTTCTTCATCTGTGGCTCGGAGGGAGGAAGTAAGTTATACAGTATTATACATCCCACCATTGTTCCAACTTATAACAGTGTGTGTGTGTGTGTGTGTGTGTGTGTGTGTGAGAGAGAGAGAGAGAGAGAGAGAGAGAGAGAAAGAGAAAGTAAATCGAATATGGGTGGTCATGTCTCAACAGTGCATTTGCTACAATTTTGTCCCGCGACACACCACCCAGACCAGCATTCTTTTGTGATAGGGAAGGACTTTAATTTCGAATACCCTGGATCGGGGAAATGCTATTTTTGTTTGTCAAAAAGTAAAAAAGGCATTTCGAAACATAGCATTTCCCACAACGGTCTATTTATACAATTAATAGCTATCAAGATGCATCTTTTACGAAAAAAAGTAGTGGGAAAAAGATACTCTTGGGAGTCGTATTGGTAAAGATGTTTATCTTTCTTTCTAATTTAGCATATTACCGGTACCTGGATAACTACCAGTCTCACTGCAGTAGCCAAGTGACCGTCTACTCTTCTGACACCTACTACTTGGATCCAACGTACACTTATTATTACTATTATTTCTATGCACCGAGCTCCTGCTACATGAGGTTTTATTCCTCTTCCTCCTCCTATGGCTTGAGTGCATACGTGTACAGTGTCAGCATGTCGAGTTGTACACCGTACGTGAACATATATGATGGATCATCCTCATCATCTTCATTATTGGTAAGAGACAAGATGTAAGAGTGATTTTATCCCTGCATAGGATAAAAACAACAAATTAACAAGCAGGTCTCTTTAGATAATATACTTGACTTATAAAATTATACGTGGGCCTAAAATGAGAGTTTGTTGTACCCTCTAGTAATATACAAATATATGACCGATGCAATAATTTTGTTACATTCTACTAACAGGTCCCGTGGACAGAGAGGAAGTCTGGTAACTGCTTTGTGCGTTTTGTTTCTTCTTACACTCTCAGAGATTATTGTAGAGCAGCATTTTGCAACCGCTACGCATGTAGCAACCATTTTTTTTCAAAGTGACTGAAAATGTGAAGTGCCGAAGAGGTATAATAGGAATGGAGACGGGGTTGATTTGACCAGGGATCAAACATGTATATGATTTATTTTACATTGTAAATTCCAAGACCATCAGAGCTAGCTAGGATGATCGAACGTCAGGGTTTAATAAACCTACCCTTAGGGATAAGAATGGACACTTTAGAATTTTTTGTTACTAGGGGTTTGGCCGTCCCATGCGGTGGTTAATTCTAGTTAATGTATCGTAATTTCTGTTATCTACCCTCAGATCATTAGAGTTAGGATAAATTCATTAGGGATGTGCAGAGGTTTTTAGTAATTTCTGTGTATCTTGGGAGGTGGTTGTCCCTAGGGTGGTTTATGCCTTTTTTCACATTGTGATATCTGCTATCTTTTCTTAGGTCAATAAAGTGAAAAGTTCAAACATCGGGAACAAATAAACCTATCGATAGGGATGTGACTTGGGCTGTGGACGCCCTTGGATTTGATCTTTGACCTTTTTTCAAGGTCAATCGGGCCAAAATTGTCTAAATATGGGAACTTTCTGCAAAAAAATGTTTGTGCCAATTTTCAAAACCTATATGGACCTACATGTAAGCTCTCATATTATAGTAAAGGGTTACAATTACACTTTTACATCTTCAGGAGTTTGGGGTCCCTTTCATGTAGGTCCGCCATATTTAGGTCGCAGCCTTATTAGATCTCGGCTCGGCTCCTCTCGATGTGAATGCTCCCAATATTCTAACTACATGTTATTACTACATTTCAGCGAACTGTCAGCTGTACGAGCACTTCATCTGACACTTACTATTCCACTGGACGGTATCTGTATGTGTACTACTACAGAGGTTCTGCCACAGGACAAGACTTTAGAATTAAAATCCAACGGGGTATAAATCTGAGCAGTACGTCTTTTACTTCTTCCCTCTTACTCCCTCCCTACTTCCTTCCTCTCTTCCCTATTTTCCCTCTCTTCCTGTGTGTGTGTGTGTGTGTGTGTGTGTGTGTGTGTGTGTGTGTAAAAGAACCATCCTGAAACTTAATTAGACAGAAAATAGGTACAACGTTAGACTTAGACTGCATTCTCAAAGATTAAGATCGATCCATCTGGATCGACCTTACTCCCTTGGGGTTCACGCTAAATTGCTGTCAGCTCAAGACGCTAAATGTCTGTCACGCCTACCGAACCAGCTAGGGTAAAGATAATTACCCCCTAACAGCTTCACTAGGCGTGACAGACATTTAAGCCGGGTAGGTGGACAGCAATTTAGTGAGACTCCTTAGGGGGATAGATCGATCTCAATATCTGTGGGAATGGCCTCTTAGTTTAAACATATTTTTTGGTCATGCAATGACAATATCAGTAATGAAAATGTACTTGAGGTATGACACCCTCAAATATGATAAAAGTGAAAACTGATATACGTTCAGAGATAAATGCATATTGTTGGCATAACAACTTTTGATTATTCATCATTGCTTTGAGTAGCCAAAGTATGGTCTATATATTAGAGAAATTGGAAGAAAAAAGTACCACTCCAGGAGTTCAAACATATAACCTTTTTTTAAATTTAGATATTTGTCTTTCTTTCTTTCTAATTCAGCATACTACCTGGATAACTACCTGTCTCACTGCAGTAGCCAAGTGACCGTTGACTCTTCTAGTACGTATTATTTGGAGCCAACGCACTCTTCTTATTCCTATGTTTCTGCACCGAGCTCCTGCTACATGAGGTTTTATTCCTCTTCCTCCTCCTATGGCCTGAATGCATACGTGTACAGTGTCAGCATGTCGAGTTGTGCACCGTACGTGAACATATATGATGGATCTTCCTCAACATCTTCATTATTGGTAAGAAACAAGATGAAAGAGTGAGTATTCTGTATAATTTGACCCGTGTCTAGTATAAAAACAACATTAAAACAAGCAGGTCTCTTTACATAATATAATGGCAGATACTGAACTTTCTAAAGTTGTATAAGCGGGCCTAAAATGAGAGCGCGTTGTAATATACAAAAATTTATGACCGATGCAATAATTTTGTTACATTCTACTAACAGGTCCCGTGGACAGAGAGGAAGTCTGGTAACTGCTTTGTGCGTTTTGTTTATTCTTACACTCTCAGAGATTATTGTAGAGCAGCATTTTGCAATTGAACTCATTTTGCAACCGCTATGCATGTTGCAACCAGTTTTTTCTAAGTCACTGAAAAATTTGAAGTGCCAAAGAGGTAGAATAGGAAAGGAGACGGGGTTGATTTGACCAGGTTCGCTGAATCCGATCAGGGTGCACGTGGGGTTGTCGATAATACATGTACATGGTCTATTTCACATTGTAATTTCTATATCAATACAGCTAGCTGGGAAATTGAAACTTTGAGGATTAATAAACCTATCGTTAGGGATGTGCAATCGCTCTTTTGAAGTTTGGTGCTACTTAGGGTCCTGAGCGTCCTTCCCGTCCTGAGCGTGGCTGATTCTAATTTTTACATTTTTCCCTAAGACCATTAGAGTGAGAATGTTGAAACGTCGGAGATTAATAAACCTACATTTAGGGGTTTGAATAGGCACTTCAATTTTTTTTTGTTACTAGGGGTTTGACCGTCCTATGCGGTGGTTAATTCTACTTAATATGTCATAATTTCTGCTATCTTCCCTCAAACCATTAGAGTTAGGATTAATTCATTAGGGGTGTGCATAGGTTACCATTCTTCAACAAGTTACAGACGGAATCAGTTAGGTCAATTAACTTTATATTTTCACCAGTAAACGACAATTCATATGTTGCAAAAATAATAATAATAATAACAATGGAATATGTCCCCTCACATCCTTTCGTAATCGTTTTTTTCAGCGATTTGAAATGATTGGAATATTCTAACTACATGTTATTACTACATTTCAGCGAACTGTCAGCTGTACGAACACCTCATCTGGCACTTACTATTCCACTGGACGGTATCTGTATGTGTACTACTATAGAGGTTATACCACAGGACAAGACTTTATAATTAAAATCCAACGGGGGTCAAGTCTAAGTAGTGGATCTTTGAACAGTGCGTCTTTAACTCCTTCCCACTTACCACTCCCTACTTCCCTCTCTCCGCTACTTTCTGTCATGTTCTCTCTCTCTCTCTCTCTCTCTCTCTCTCTCTCTCTATTTGTGTATGTGTGGCGAGAAACTCACCGATTATTGGTTGATGGTATAAACTGCATTTTTTTTTTGAAAATCCAAAACCACGTTTCACATATATGTTCCAAATTGGACAATGAACATCTGATTGACAATTTAAAAAGAAACTACATGTACCACAAGAAAGTAACCATTATATTATTTGAATTTTAAATTTGCTCTAACATTTTAAAAATCAATGTTCCCAATTACATGCTTTGAAATTAATCTCACATTTCAAGGTTCCAAGCTTTCCAGATTTTACACAATTGACACAAAAGCTGGTTTTGCATGAAATCATAGCAAACAGCATTTCTGAAACGAAAGAATACTGGTTTGTGCCGTTTAGGACCAATGTTTATTGCCGGACAAAGAAAATTGACCGAAAACTAGTTTGAGCCGTGGGAAAACATTTTTAATTTTTGCAGTGTCAGTTCTTAAGGGTTCTTTGAGAGGGATTCTTATTGAATGCCCTGGATCTTCAGTGTATTACCATTTAAATTTTTTTGATCAAGACTTGGTAGCATATCGAGAATACTTCCAAATAAAATGCAACTCTACGAGAAGAAAATTCGCTGAAAAGATTCCTTCATAATTCGTTGTTACATGTATATAGTTGTTTGTCTTTCTTTCTAATTCAGCATACTACTTGGATAACTACCTGTCTCACTGCAGTAGCCAAGTGACCGTTGACTCTTCTAGTACGTATTACTTGGATCCAGCGTACTCTTCTAATTCCTATGTTTCTGCACCGAGCTCCTGCTACATGAGGTTTTATTCCTCTTCCTCCTCCTATGGCCTGAGTGCATACGTGTACAGTGTCAGCATGTCGAGTTGTACACCGTACGTGAGCATATATGATGGATCTTCGTCATCATCTTCATTACTGGTAAGAGACAAGATGTAAATATGAGTATTTTCTGCGCTTTTACTATTGAATAGTATAAAAACAACATTAAATCGAGCAGGTCTTTAAAGACATTGTGAAGATAGCTTATCAATTTCAAAAGTTTCATAATTGAATTGAGTTAGGAAGAAGGTAGAAATGCAGAGAAAGCAGAGGCAGCACTTTATAACAGAGGGGCGGATCCATGATGTTTATGCAAAATGTAATTTCCACAGACCCACGAGAGCCTGAATCCGATTCCGAGGGCAGGTCGTTGTCGTGACAGACTGACGTACGTCATCTAGAACTCGATCTCGTTATTTTACCATAGTTGATGATGGCTTTATTTAGTAGCCGTGCACGCTACCAACTGCCTACCTACGTGTTTCTTCTTACAGTAATCAAACGCAATTTTTGGAAAGTTTAAGATAAGGCTTGACACATGTACTTGTAAACTGTGCATTTCACGCTGGTTCATGAGTTACGGTATGTGTAATAATGATAATTATAGGAGCGAGCCTGTTCATTTGAAATAGACGCTAGAACGTGTGGTCACGCACGCATGGACCAGAGCACCTGATGCATCTAACTGTACATCTTGAACAGAAATTAAGGAACATGGAATTATCGTGAAGATAAGTTAACGCCCTGATAATGTTTCTTTTTACCCTCGTGGAAATGAAACAAATTATATAAAACAGCGCTATACCCACACACCCTTTGGTAATCGTTTTTTTAATCAGCTTTTTTAAAAATCTAGATATTTTAACTACAGGTACATGTTTAAACTACATTTCAGCGGAGGGTCAGATGTACGAGCACCTCATCTGGCACTTACTATTCCACTGGACGGTATCTGTATGTGTACTACTATAGAGGTTCTACTACAGGACAAGACTTCACAATTAGAATCCAAAGGGGGTCAAGCGGATCTCTGAGTAGTACGTCTTTTACTCCTTCCCACTCACCACCTCCCTTCCTCTCTCCCCTACTTTTGCTCTCACTCTCTCTTTGTCCGTGTGTGTGTGTGTGTGTGTGTGTGTGTGTGTGTGCGTGTGTGTGTGAAAGAACCATCTTAAAACCCAATAATTAGACAGAAAATAGGTAAACGTAATAAGACTTATAGTTTAAACAGATATGTAATATTTGGTCATGCAAGGACAGTATCAATAATGAAAATGTAATTAAAATATATTATCTTCATATATAATGAAAATTCCAAACTTTTTGGTAAAAGTGAAAACTGATTTACAAAAGGTAAGATAAAAGTACATTATTGGCATAAAATCTTTAGATTATTTATCACTGCTTTGGTCTATATATATATGAGGGAATTTGGAAGAAACAAAGTATCGCCCCAGGGGTGTCAATAAAAATGTTCAAACATTTGACCTTTTGTTGAAAATCATACAGACTGCAATTTGTATAATAAACATCTGATTGGCAATTTAAACACAAACTACCACTAGAAACCTTACACTGATCCATTTGAAACTGTTTTGAAGTTCAATTCAATGTTTTGGAACGAGACTTCGAAAATGTCAAAGCTGCCTGCTCTCCTGAATTTACACAATTGTTACAAAATCTGATTTTGTCTGTTACCATTTTTGAAAAGAAAGAAAACTTGCTGGGTGGTTTGGAACCAATGTTTAATCACTGGACAAAAATGAAGGAAATCCATTTTGAGCAGTAGGCACCCATATTCTCCAGACATTAACTCCCAAGGGATGGCGGAGAAGGGTCCTAATTCTGAATATCCTGGGTTTTCAGTGTATTTCTATAGATATGTTTTTATTAAGGGTGGATTGTATCAAGTATACTTTCAAATACAACATCCGCAATTTTCCATGTATACGAATGACAGTAAGATGCAACTTAATGAAAAAATTGTGCCCTGAAAAGATTCCTTCATGATTCGTTGTGATATGGATGTATTTTTTTCCAATTCAGCTTACTACCTGGATGACTACCTGTCTCACTGCAGTAGCCAAGTGACCGTCAACTCTTCCAGTGCGTATTACTTGGATCCAACGTACTCTTCGCATTCCTTTTATTCCTATGCACCGAGCTACTGTTACATGACGTTTTATTCCTCTTCCTCCTCCTATGGCCTGAGTGCTTACGTGTACAGTGTCAACATGTCGAGTTGTACACCGTACGTGAGCATATATGATGGATCTTCGTCATCATCTTCATTACTGGTAAGAAACAGATGCAATTGTGAGTATTGTGTACAGTCTTCCCCTTGCATAGTTTAAAAAACAACTTTGAAACAAACAGGCTTTTAAGACAATATGAAGATAGCTTATCGACTGAAAAAGTTTCATAACTGAGTTTATAATAAGTCATTTGTGCGCTTCAATTGATACTTTTGCAAACAACTGCTACGTTTACACTCAAGAAAATGCAATGTTGAAGTTGGATGAGAGATTGGACGCTGAACATTTTTTCAGAAAAAAAAAAACAAAACACGACCACAACTGAAACAACAACTTTTTATAAGTTGAGGGTGTTTAAATGGAACTTGAAATGTTAAAAACAATTAAGGCTTGATACTCGAGCTTGTCAAACTATACGTTATCAGTTCAAACTGGTTTTTACTGTAAGTTGCAATAAATTTGATAATAATAAGAGTCCATCTGTTGGTCTGAAATAAACGCTGGTACTTATGGACACGTGCACATACAAGGTAGCCCCAAAACACCTGATAAATCTACGCCATGGCGTAATATGGAAGATCAGTCAAGGACGTAATACATCTTTCTTATTTTTACACAAAAATTAAAATGTAATGATAGTAGTAAAGAACGGTATACTCTTTCGTAATCGGTATTTCGTCAGTGTCGTTTTTAACTGAAAGTTTTATCTCAACTGCTTTTCAGCGAAGCGTCAGCTGTACGAGTACCTCATCTGGTACTTACTTTTCCACTCAACAGTATCTGTATGTGTACTACTATAGAGGTTCTGCCACAGGACAAGACTTTAGAATTAGAATCCAGAGGGGGTTAAGTCTGAGTAGTGCGTCTTTTACTCCTTCCCACTCACCCCCTCCCTACATCCTTCCTCTATCTCTCACTTTCTCTCTCTCTCTCTCTGTGCGCTCGCGCTAGTGATGACTTAAGTATAAATGTATAAAATAAATGTGTAAAAACGCCATGTTAGTAGCAGATTCACGAGAACCCCTACAAGCTTATAATACAGAAAATGAGGGAACTTTTGGTTAAACAGATACGTAATATACATTTTTCGTATTATTATTTTCAGACTACACTTGTTATTCTTGTACTAGCTGCAGCGGCACTGGCGGTAGCACAACATCCTGCTCCTACGGATGTTACAAGTCCGTAAGAACTATCGGCGGTAAGATAATGGGTCAGAATATGGGTTTTTAGCTGTCTTAAATATTTTTCTCTCATATATCTTATTACGCTGATACCTGTATGTCGAATTGTGGAGTGAACAATTTTGCTTTTAAGCAAACATGTTAAAACATGTTCAATTAAAAATTCGTTACAGTGTCAGTTAACTTAACCCCCACCCATCCGCTCCAAGTGTTTTCACTCCCATCTAATGTTTTGTTTTATATACAGACAGTACTAGTTCTAGTGGTTCGCTTCTTTTATCTTCTGTACGATTTAAACATAAGCTTTGGTGATCTATTTTAAAAACACAACATACGTTTGTTTCATATTTATTTTACAGGTTCTCGGTCGATCACCAAGGGGTGTATCTCTAGCAGCAGCTCTAATTCCGGTTGCTCACAAACACTGAGCTCTTTTGCTGACTACGAATATTGTGTCTGCAAGTCGTCTTATTGCAACGCGGCCCAGGTTATCAGACCTAGTATATGCCGTTCTCTCGGCATCGTGGGATTGATTATCAGTTTGTTTCAGTATACGCATACCCCGGTATGTGACTGAAAATTCTTGACAATGGAAGAGAAAGATTTTGAAAGGACGGTGTATCTTTACTTTACACAGTGAATGGATATTTGGAACATTTATGGCCGGTTGGTTTGAGATGGTGACCTTTATTAATTCAGCGAGAGTCCCCGTGGACCTATTGCGCACTAGCTAGTGCCAACTGAGTAATTCTGAATGCCCCCCATGACTCCATTCCCATAGTCACCATCAGTTTATTTAACTCGACTCTTGCTAAGTGCAATCAGCTAAACTGAATCGCACGCATTCTCTAACCAACTACGACGCATCCTCTTGTTTCCAACTTATTCGTTTAATCACCAGCTTTTCTATATTCTACTGAACGCCAGGAGGAGTGTTAATCTGGTAAGCTGATTGCACTCAGCGTGAGTCACAGCAGAGTTGGATCGATATAGGTAAACCGATAGTGTCTTTGGAAATGGGGCCTATGCGTTTCCACGCTCTTTGGGTAAAGAGTCCCAAGTCTTTGGCTTCGTTCACATGGAAAGTCTATTTTCTAAAAATCTATTTTCTATTCGCGGTATCTTATGATCACGGTCTGTGCCCTGAATATCCCGCGGCGTAATTACTGGCAGCGCGAGCCAGTTACTTACAGTAACTTATAGTAAATTTTGCTTGCAATTGTATTTTAAATCAATGTCCTATGTACATGTACGTTGCATAATATTCCACACTTAGTAGGCCTACCTTTTTTCACATTATAACGAGACGAAAAGTCAAACGATCTGTTATTGTTTATCTCTGCTGAGAATTTAGTTATTTTTGTAGTTTTTCCACATATACATGTACGATCCTGAAATTCACGGTACTGATATGGACGATAACTTACAAGACTATAAGAGGGCGTTTGGAGTTTTTTTACAAACATGCTCTTCATATCTCTATATATCATTAGACAAAGTTGTACAGCCACAAGGATAAGATACAGGTCCAGGCGGAAAACCCCCGGGAGCATAAAGAAGGGAATGGACTACCGATGATATTACTTTCATATTATATGTTTTGTGTCCTTTAGTGCTTTTAATTAACGAAATTGTACTGTTGACGATATAAAGATATTTATCCACATGTATACGCGTG